CCCCCCCCCCCCAAATTCCAAGCCCCCCCCCCCCCAAACAAAGCCTATCGCCGCAGCCCGATCTCTACGAAGCAACAAAATGCAATGAAAGCTGCTCGACACTCACCCATTTATGATGAATCCGGATTTCAAAGGAGGCAGCGTTAAAGTTCCACGTTGGGTGTAAAAGATGACAGGTGAGCTTGGAATATGACAGGTGAGGGGTCCCCCCGCCCCCCGTTATTGATCCCGGATTGTGCCCTGGTGGTATGTGATCCGCCTCATAGGTGACAGCTCGGCATGGTGCCCTCTTCTATCTGCAGGAGATCAGCCTCGGTGACCGGGTGCCATTCACAGGTCTAGTGCGGGGATCGCGCCGCTCCTGCTTATTGTCAACACTGGAGGTGGACGAGCATTGGCTGATGTGTTTAAGAAACTGAGTGTGATGATGATGATGAGAGCTGCATTTCCCCTTCCTCTCCACCGCCTCCCCCTTGCAGCTGCTCATGCAGTCTTTCTGATGCTTAGTTTGACTGCTGTTCTCTCTCTGCCAGGCTCATTGAGGGACTCGGTGCCTGGCTGCAAATCCTCGCGAGAGTCTTCCTCCTCCTCCTTATACTCCTAGTTGTCTGTAGTGCCAGGACTGACAGTGAGCACATGAGGCTTAGAAGATCTACACCCCCTGTCTTATTTCTTATTTCATGCCCCTCTTACCCTTTGCCCTGTGTTGTCTGTCATAAAGCATACTTCCAATGCCCAGCCAATCCAGCATTGTTCTGCAGTAGCCCGCTGCTAGGGTTGCCACCCACTCCTTATAATAAATACGCCATTGTCCTAAATTCAAACTAAAATGTTATATCTTGTATTAAATCGATGACCCTTTTCCCTGGGTTGTCCTTCATAAAGTATACTTTTAATGCCCAGCCAATCCAGCATTGTTCTGCAGTAGCCCGCTGCTAGAGTTGCCACTCACTCCTTATAATACGGCATTGTCCTAAATTCAAACTAAAATGTTACATTTTGTATTAAATCGATTACCCTTTTTTCTGGGTTGTCCTTTATAAAGCATACTTTTAATGCCCAGTCAGTCCAGCCTTATTCTGCACTAACCCACTGCTAGGGTTGCCACCTACTCCTTATAACATGGCATTGTCCCAAATTTGAACTAAAATCTGTTACATCTTGTATTAAATCGATTACACTTTTCCCTGGGTTGTCATTCTTAATGGATACCCCAATACCCAGTCAATCCACCGTGCTCTGCAGTAACCCGCCATTTCACCGCTTCTAGGGCTGCCACGCATTCTGTATAATACAGAATCGTCCCGGACTTCAAACTAAAATGTTACACCTCATATCAAATCAATTACCCTTTTCCCTGGGTTGTCCCTTCATGAAGCATACTCAAATGTCCAGCCAATCCAGTGTTGCTCTGCAGTAACCCACTATTTCACCACTGATATGGTTGCCACCCATTCCTTATAATACCCTTCCCCGTCAGAGCTCATTTAGCACACTAATCTTCAAAATACAGGAAGGAAACAAATAAGATAAGTACATTGATAGATTTACATTCACTTTAATTCATTATTGTTGGTGAGTTTATTTTAATGTCACTCTTTTTTATAGCATGATAATGTTCTATTAAAAATGTTCAATTCCCAATCAATAATATCACTTATATGAAGTGTAATGCCTATTTTTCTGCATGCAAGAACATTTAAAGTAGAACTGAGGCCAAAAAAAGAAATCAAGTTTTGGAAAGAATAAGGGAGGGATATAACCGCTGTCACTTTTTTCTTCATTATTTTGCTAACTTTGTCCCATTGGGGAGATTTTCCTTCACTTCCTGTCCAATACAGCAACTACTCAACAGGAAGTGAGAGGAAATCCCTCCAAAGTGAGGGAAATCCCTGGTGGTCAGCAGGGTCACCAGAACTAGTGTCCCGATTGGAAGATTTCCCATCCATTCCTGTTCTGGTGGCAATCCATTTGCCCCCCCCACTGCACACCACAGATTTACTCTATCTGATGGAGAACACTCCCCAGAGGCAGGCAGAAGCAAACAACGTCCCGGGATTAGGGAAAACCTAACAAACCCAGATAATGTAAACAATCACAGCTCAGGCTGGCTACATCTTAGCTGACATCACTAAATTTAGACTGGGGAGACTTTAGCTTATGGCCGTGTCCTTACAGGTCCATGACAAACCAAAAAATTCTGCAACATGGATGCATTGAGGTGAATGGCAACACAATGAACTAACATGCACATTACTGCAAAGCAAAGGTGTGATTCCATCCTAAGTGTAGGAAAACAACTACATAAACTGTTAAAATACATGTCTGTGAATTGTCTTGCCATCCAAAAAATGCCGTTATTTTGTTCAGCTAGCTTTGTGTTCCAGGCACTCCGCAGCTTTGGAGGGAGGCCAAGTGGCATGGCAGTGACGTTGCCTGGATCCCTGGCTCTGGCTGTGGTACCACAGACATGCACTGACTGCTCACAGCTGTGCTGATGGAGTCTGGATCACTTCAAATGTCTGTAGACTGCCTATTGTTGGCACACACTGCTCAGTTCTGTGGCCTCGTTGTCCTCACACTGCACACCTCACATTTGCCACACACCGTCACTGCATCCCATGGAATCGCATAACTCCCTCACTGCACACCACAGATTTTACTTACCCCTTTACTGCACACAACAGATTTACCATGTCGTGGTTCCCAATAATAAAGATGGCGTCTGTTCATATCTCAGCACTGCGGTGCAGCACATTTTTAAAAATTTGTTGTGCCTGTTTTTTCTGCATTTTAGTGTGTTGGGAGGCCCACCCCTGGAAGCCAATGGCAATGTAATAAATACATGTAACATACTTTTTATATACAGATGCCTGATATATGTATGGCAGAGATCTACATATAAAGAGTAATATATCTAGCTGCTTGAGAGCAAACTTCTAATAGCATACAGACCGATTAATGGAGGAGAGTGTCTCATCAGCTAGCTTTGTGTTCCAGGCACTCCCCCACTTTGGAGGGAGGCCAAGTGGCATGGCAGTGACGTTGCCTGGATCCCTGGCTCTGGCTGTGGTACCACAGACATGCACTGACTGCTCACAGCTGTGCTGATGGAGTCTGGATCACTTCAAATGTCTGTAGACTGCCTATTGTTGGCACACACTGCTCAGTTCTGTGGCCTCGTTGTCCTCACACTGCACCCCTCACATTTGCCACACACCGTCACTGCACGCCATGGATTTACCTTACCCCCTCATTGTACAGTCTAACTTCACCGCCTTTCACTGTACACCCTAAATCTACCCCCCATTGTCCACATCCAGATTTAACCACACACACACATACACTGTGCAGCCCAGATTTAACTCACCCATCTCACTGCAGACAAATTTACCTCTCCTTGTCTTTGTGCATATGCCATATTTATCCCCACCCCAATTCATGCACTCCACGGATTTACCTTACCGTCTCATTGCACACAAAAAATCTACCTTACCCCTTCACTGCACACCACAGATGTATCTTACCCCTTCACTGCACACCACAGATTTATCTTACCCCTTCACAGCACACCACAGATTTATCTTACCCCTTCACTGCACACCACAGATTTACCTTACCCCTTCACTGCACAGCACAGATTTACCTTACCCCTTCCCTGCACACCACAGATTTATCTTACCCCTTCACTGCACACCACAGATGTACCTTACCCCTTCACTGCACACCACAGATTTACCTTACCCCTTCACAGCACACCACAGATTTATCTTACCCCTTCACTGCACACCACAGATTTACCTTACCCCTTCTCTGCACACCACAGATTTACCTTACCCCTTCCCTGCACACCACAGATTTATCTTACACCTTCTCTGCACACCACAGATTTACCTTACCTCTTCACTGCATACCACAGAATTACCTTATTCCCTCACTGCACACCACAGATTTACCTTACCACCTCCCTGCACACCATAGATTTATTTTACCCCTTCACTGCACACCACATAATTACCTTACCCCTTCTCTGCACAGCATAGATGTACCATTCCCCCTCACTGCGCGCCACAGATTTACCTTACCTCTTCACTGCACACCACAGAATTACCTTACTCCCTCACTGCACACTACAGATTTTACTTACCCCTTTACTGCACACAACAGATTTACCATGTCGTGTTTCCCAATAATAAAGATGGTGTCTGTTCCTATCTCAGCACTGCGGTGCAGCACATTTTTAAAAATTTGTTGTGCCTGTTTTTTCTGCATTTTAGTGTGTTGGGAGGCCCACCCCTGGAAGCCAATGGCAATGTAATAAATACATGTAACATACTTTTTAAGATGCCTGATATATGTATGGCAGAGATCTACATATAAAGAGTAATATATCTAGCTGCTTGAGAGCAAACTTCTAATAGCATACAGACCGATTAATGGAGGAGAGTGTCTCAGCTAGAGGATTCAGATTAAAAGGGTTTGTGGCCTCAAGGATATACACAAGTGCATTTGTTTTTCCGTAATAGAAGGGCATATAAAATGGTGAGTGTGTTTTAAGTTTTGGTGGAGGGGGTTGCAAGCATGTTGAGTGAAATCAATAGAAGAAGACATAATAAAGACTCTCCTTTATATTCAGTAGTGTCAATTCATATCTGAGGGTAGTGTCACTTAAGACTTATCGCTTGAAAAAGTACTTGAACTTCTTTTGGGGCAGAGTTGCGCAGCGTGGCCCCAATAGACTTCAATGAGAGCGGCGTAAAATACATGAAAATGGATTGGCTGAGTCGAACTCCTTCTGCACTTCGGGTCAGCCGAACATGCTCAGCATGTGCGGCCGACCCGAAGCCATGCGAAGCAAGCCGATGTACGGCTGAAATCAGCCGCACCAGCCTGAAGTGAATAGCCGAACAGTGCTCGGCTCACTTCACTTCAGGTCGGTCATTCACTCGGCTGCCTACAGCAGCTTAGTGAATAGACCCGTATGTAATCTCTAGACCTTTCTTGTACCTGTGGTGGCATGGTTTTCATGTAGGCATTTGTAAGTAAGTTATCGCACCACTAGATGTACAGTACATGCACCAGCAACTTTACTAAATGAGTCATCTCTGTCTCCTTCACTCTTCCCCCCCCCACCACTGTCCTTAATTTAACAGTGCTCAAAAGACTGAACTATAAATGAAGTCTAAAAAAAAACCTCACACATCCAAGAATTAAAACTCACACTTCCATAGAGGTCTACTTGTTTCCTTGCATTAATTATGTGCTGAAAAT